GTAATCCTAAACTTACTCCACACTTTTGCCATAGCAGTCTTTCTACCATACCAGAACTCTGCCAGTGGCTCCCCATTATCTTCAGGATGAAGCCTGACCTCCTCAGCATGGCATAAGATGCCCTTCACGATCTGGCCTCTTCTGTTTGTTTTCACCTTCTGCTTCCTTTCCACCTCACATCCTAAATTTCATGAATTCAAATTATTTGTCCTTTCTAAAAGGACACTTCTTTGCCTCCAGGTCTCTGTACATGCTTTCTGTACTCTGGAATGACTAGCTCTCCGTGGTTCATTAACCCTGTAAGATTTGACTGAAGTGTTACCTTCTCTGCAAAGCCCTCTGACTTCCAAGCAAAACCAGGCTCTTCTTCCCTCTGGGCTCACTTCCTAATTTGTTACTCATCTCTGGTGTGGTCCTATGACAGTATCTTGAAATTGTCTCCATTTTCCTTTTCCAATTTATGAACTCCTAAAGGACAGCAACTTTGACATAGGGATCTTTGTTTCCTAGTGTTTGGCCTAGTGTAGTAAGTGTCTAATGCAGTGCTTCTCAGAGTGTGTTCCCTGTACCAGCAGCATCAGCATCACTGGGAACTTGTTAGAAATGCAGATTCTCAGGCCCCAGCCCAGACTTACTGAATTAGAAACTCTGGAGTGGGGCCCAGCAATCTGTATTTTAACAAGCTCCCCAGGTATTAGTTCAGTGAAGTGAATGAATGACAACATTCACTGAGAGGACTCAACTCCTGTCTCATGATAAGAGGAGAACTCTTCCACTTGTATTCAGTTCTTAGTAAAAGGAAATAACCATGCTCTGTGATAGCTGCAAGAACTTAAAATAGTGAGCATATGTAGTTAAGATTGACAGTATTTTTGATGTCATAAATGCAGGCTCAGAATCTTTTCTGAGTCTGCTGACTTAAGCCTTTAAAGCTAGAGATTAGATAAACTGAAAGGAAGAGACACAGTCTTATACTTTAAAAATCACCCATAGGCTGGACACAGTGGCTCACGCCTGTAATCCTAGCACTCTGGGAGGCTGAGGCCGAGGCGGGAGGATCGCTTAAGGTCAGGAGTTCGAAACCAGCCTGAGCAAGAGCGAGACCCTGTCTCTACTAAAAATAGAAAGAAATTAATTGGCTAACTCAAAATATATAGAAAAAATTAGCTGGCGTGGTGGCGCATGCCTGTAGTCCCTGCTACTCGGGAGGCTGAGGCAGGAGGGGATCACTTGAGCCCAGGAGTTGGAGATTGCTGTGAGCTAGGCTGATGCTATGGCACTCTAGCCCAGGCAACAGAGTAAGACTCTGTCTCTAAAAAAATAAAAATCACCCATAACATCACCATCAGAGATAACCAAATGAGCAATGATTGTTTCTAGGTGATATTATGATTTTTTAAAAATTTTGCTTATGCTTGAGATTTTCTACAAGTACGTATTTTTTATTCAGAAACCTTTATCTTTAAGTAATTGGAAACACTAAGATATAAATTGAAATAAATTCATCTGAATTTTTGACCCTTATGAAGGTATCTTTTTACTTTCCTTTTTAAAATGACAAATAAAAATTGTATATATTTATTGTGTACAACGTGATGTTTTGAAATATGTATACATTGTGGAATGGTTCAATCTAGCTAGTACTTTTTCAATTTCTAACATTTAAAGTGGAAATTAAAGAAATAACATAAACCCTGGTCATATTAAATGTAGTTTTACCTGACTAATTACTGTCTATTTTAGTGGATCTATATATACTTTATAAAATACTTATTGAACATTGTACGGTTGATTAAAGCTTCAATTATAAGGCTGGGCACTAGGTTTTTACTTACAATGCATAACATTGTTTCTGTGGGATGATCAGAGTTCAGTTGGTATCATTTTAACTTACAGGACTTCTTTCTGGAAAGTATCTTGTCAAAAGTAAAGACTGCAAGAAATCTTGATTGTTTTCATTCTAGTTCTAGAACAGATTCAGTCTCCTTTAAAAAGAAAGTTTTCATAGATCTCCTCATATGGAGATTTAAATTTTTTTTCCCCTTTGAAGACAGAATCTCACTGTCTTGCCCCAGGCAGAGTGCAGTGGTGTTATACTTTACAACAACCTCAAACTCCTGGCTCAAGTGATCCTCCTGCCTCAGCCTCCTGGATAGCTGGGACTGCAGGTGCACAACCATGCCTGGCTAATACTTTCTGTTTTTGGTAGAGATGGGCTTGCTCTTGCTCAGTCTGGTCTGGAACTCCTGACCTCAAGCAATCCTCCCTTCTTGGCCTCTTAGAGTGCCAGGGTTACAGGTATGAGCCACAGCACCCCAGCCTAAATTGTTTTTATTATAAAGTCTAATGCTTATGGCCACTGAGGTGAATAGATATAATTTTTTTTTTGCTTATAGTTCCCAAATAACTACAAAACCAAAAATTACAAATTAGATATCATAAAAACTATGGAACTGATAAAAATTCAAATTAAGAACATTAATATAAGACTGATGTTTTGGTGAAATTAAATGCCAGTGTTGGGTTTAATAGTAGACAGAGGTATTTATGTATTTTACTTTTTACTGGTTATTATTTCTATTTTAAGCATGACCAACATGGGATTCATTGTCATTATCGTAGATATTACTTTTTTAGTATTGTAAAATTAGTACTGAAAAATACTGATTTAATGTCAAGTTCTTTTTTTGGATAAAGTTGGATATATTTATCATGTACAATATGATGTTTTGAAATATATATACACATTGTAGAATGGCTAAATCAAGCTAATTAACATGTATTACCTCACATTCATTGTTCATTTTTGTGGTGAGAACACTTAAAATCTCTCAATATTTTTCAAGAATGCAATATATTGTTAACCGTAGTCATGATGTTGTACAACAGATCTCTTGAACTTATCACCCTATCTAAGTGAAATTTTATAAGCTATTACCATCATTTCCCCAACCCCCTCCCCAACCCCCACCTCTCCCCAGCTCCTGGTAATCACTCTTATACTATCTACTTCTATGAGATTAACTTTTTTAGATTCTACATATGAGTAAGATCATGCAGTATTTGTCTTTCTGTATCTGGTTTATTTCACTTAATGGTTCATCCATGTTGTCAAAAATGATAGGATTTTCCAAATAGTATTCCATTTTGTATGAATACCGCATTTTCTTTATCCATTCATCTGTTGGTGGACACTTAGGTTGATTCTATATCTTGACTATTGTGAATAATGCTGCAGTGAACATAGGAGTGCAGATATCTATTTAATATACCGATTTCATTTCCTTTGGATATCTTAATGTTGAATTCTTTACTGCCTGTTAAGGTTACACTTATTGCTATGAAGTGTTGGAAAATGGTTCATAAAAAAACAGTGTAGCTGGGTGCCATGGCATGTGTCTATAGTCTCAACTACTCAGGAGGCAGAGGCAGGAGGATTGCTTGAGCCCCCCCAGTAGCTTGAAGCTAGCCTGGGCACCATAACAAGACACTGTCTCTTTAAAAAAAAAAAAAAAAAAAGAACCAGTTTGCCCAGTACAATTGAATATGGTATTGGCTGCTCTGGGAAACTTTGAGTTTGGCATGCCTATGTGCCTGTTCTCTCCTCTGTTTTGCTCGTATCATTTGGCCTCAACTTGGCACCAGTAGGATTATAAACACCAGTGCAGAGATGAACCTGCAGTCAGAGTTGACAGCATTCAGATATAAAGATGGTCATTCAGAAGACATAAGACATATGTATATATATTTAGCTTATTAACATGAAAATGAAAACAATTTTTAAATTCTTAGAGAACTCATGGATCTCCAGGAATAAGTTGTTAGATCCAAGAAACTCAGTTTTATATCTATACATACTATTAATGCAATACTAAGTCCATGAAACAATAACATGTAGCATTTAAATATTCACAGTATAAAAAAGCCTTCACCGAAACACCAAAACCTCAAATAGCTAGCCTAGTTTTAAATTTTTCTTTCTTTCTTTCTTTTTTTTTTTTTTTTTTTCCTGAGACAGAGTCTCGCTCTGCTGCCCAGGCTAGAGTGCCATGGCGTCAGCCTAGCTCACAGCAACCTCAAACTCCTGGGCTCAAGCGATCCTCCTGCCTCAGCCTCCCAAGTAGCTGGGACTACAGGCATGTGCCATCATGCCTGGCTAATTTTTTCTCTATATATTTTTAGTTGTCCAGCTAATTTCTTTCTATTTTTTTAGTAGAGACAGCGTCTCACTCTTGCTCAGGATGGTCTCAAACTCCTGAGCTCAAGCAATTAGCCCGCCTCAGCCTCCCAGAGTGCTAGGATTACAGGTGTGAGCCACCGCACCCCGCCTAAAGTTTTTATACTTGTGCCAAGTTTAAATCACATGATTTCTTGTCATTAATGTTTGGAAATCTATTTTTTTTTTTTTTTCTCTTATACATTTCCTCTACCCTTTTTCTTGCCCAATTTACTATCCCTATCTTCTCCATCTCTCTCCTGCTACATATTTCTTACGGCGGTGTGATTTGGGTGAGAGTCACAGTTCACTGTCCTGGTCAGTCTTGATGTATCATCCATCCTCCATGATTGGCCCATGGCTGAGAGCGCATGACTTAATACTAGGCCAGTTAAGAGTCTTTACCTGAAATTCTTCATACTGAAAGCCAAGAGGGGGAGAGTCTTTTCTTCCTCACAGATTAAACTGAGATGGCATAAGAGTAGAGCTTCCTGAAGCTATGGGTGTCTCACTTCACTCCCCATCCCCTGACAATTACCCACAGAGGAAGCAGTCTGTAATGGGATCGAACAAGACTTAACAAGAGGAGCATCGATACTGGGAGAGAGAATCCTGGTGGTGAAGGAGTCTTCATCTTCCATTTTGGAGCTGCCTGGTTGTTGTCCATCAAATTACCTTTTTAGTTGAAGCTAGTTCCAGTTGGGTTTTTCACTTAGCACCAGAAAGCATCCTTAAATAGTCTATATTATAATTAAAAGACATATCCTTTTTTATATGTCTCTAGGTGAAGATGGAGCTGGAAAAACAAGCTTAATAAGGAAAATTCAGGGAATCGAGGAGTATAAGAAAGGAAGAGGATTGGAATATTTGTACTTAAATGTGCATGATGAAGACAGGGATGGTAAGTGTCATATATGTGTAACAGAAGTTTCCTGAAGTCTGTTCTGAAGTGCACTGCTCCTCACATTATTCTTTGACTTTTCACAGTGTGTCCTCTTTTACTACAATATCATGCTGATTGGTAAATAGTTATGTTTATGCATACTTTTATTAATTTGGGATTGGGATTCATACAGTGATATTCTTAAGCATCTTAGGGTATTCTAGAGTACAGACATTAGCCTTCTTGCCATCCTTAAAGAATCTCAGTTTTTCAGTTTATCTTCTCTTAGGTAGTGATTTTTGCTAACTTCCATTTCACCTTTTCATTTTCTGATAAAAATGTGATCTATTAAGCTTTTTCCATTTGGTAAGCCATTTTTTCTTATTTAGATCACTTGCCTCTCATTTTTGCATATAATATCTTGTGTATGCATCACTGTATCTGCTTAGGGTAAAATTATAAACATGTTATCCGGTTTCTGGTTTCAGATTAAGAAATATGAAGTAGAGGATGCTGGTACTTTTGTTGGCAGTCAAGTCATTTTAGACTCTTACTAAATTGGTAGATATGACCTAAATAGTTGAACTTTGTCAAAGCCAGATATCTCCTGTGGAGACAAACTAAAATACCAGATAGTTTTGTTTGTTGGATAATGAAATGACTTAACCTTGTTGCCTTGGTAACTTTCTTTTTTGTTGTAGATCAAACAAGATGTAATGTGTGGATCTTAGATGGAGACCTATATCACAAAGGCCTCCTTAAATTTTCACTGGATGCCATCTCCCTGAAGGACACTCTAGTTATGCTTGTTGTTGATATGTCAAAGCCTTGGACTGCTTTGGATTCTTTACAGAAATGGGCAAGTGTTGTTAGAGAACATGTTGACAAATTGAAAATCCCTCCTGAAGAGATGAAAGAAATGGAGCAAAAGTGTGAGTAGTCTAGAAATTATTAATATAGGTTTCACATACAAAATGTCTTGGCTGACTTTAATAATTATTAGGAATTTTTGACTATGAATCATGTTTAATGAAGGAACCATTAATGTGACTATTTTTGAAATTCAGTTTGAGTGACATACTAGGTTTTAATATACTTTCATATTACACACCTACACATAAGGGTAAACTCTTTTGTAGAAATACCTTTTCTCCTTGCCAAAAGGCTGTATGTGTTCATTTTGGAAAGCAGTTTTTCAAGGTGAAAAAAACTTGAGTCTTTCTGTAGCTGCTTTTTTTTCAGCAGTTTTCATTTCTTGATTAGTAGAATAATCTCATCAACTTTGTCAAAATGAAATATGCCTGAAAAGATGTTAACAACATAAATATAAAGATGATAAGCTGGTTTTATGATTTACAAACTACACAGTATATTTTATACATGCCCATGTGAATTGGAAAGTTTCATGGGAATTATTGAAATGATGTGGATCATTTATAACAGGTTGTAAGCCAGTGACATTTTTTTTTTTTCCGGCATATTATGGGGGTACAGATTTTAAGGTTTCAGTAAATGCCCTTTCTCCCCCTCCCCCCACAAGTCTGAGTTTCCAGCATGACCATCCCCCAGATGGTGCACATCTCACTCATTATGTATGTATATACCCGCCCCCCTGCCCCCGACATTTCTTAATTTCACTGAGAGCTCTTCATTTGCCAGTGTTATACTTTGCATAAGAAAAGACATAGATGAAATGCTTTGTTGTTAGCTGGTAATAACTTTCAAGGGGAAATTGACAGCTTACTGGAATTTATATGTAAGGAAACAGTAAAAACTTAAGAGAATGTATGTCCTAAATCATTGAAAAAGATATCTGGGGGAGGGAGAAGGAAAAGAAAAAAGAAAAAAAAATTAGAAAAAGATGTCTAAATGCTTTTGATCTATTTATTTTTTTCTTGCTGGCCATTGCCTGATCTAAATTTATACTAAAGCAGTTATTCTTAACGTGTGGTTCCTGGACCAACAGTGTCATTATCAGTCAATACAGCTGGGAACTTGTCAAAAATACATATTTTCACTCCCCACCCAGACTGCTGAATCAGAGGGTGGAGCTAGTAATCTGTGATTTAACAAGCCCTCTGGGTGATTCTGGTGTATGATAAAATATGACAGCTACTGTTAGATTTCAGCCTCTAATCTTAAGGGTGGTAGCCACCAGAGCTGCTGAGGTACATACGTGCCCCTTTGTTCTTGGAGAACCCACTCACTGTTTAGGTTTCTCTTCTTTGACTCATGTATATTAGGCCTTCTTCATATGATCATCTTCATGAATACAGAAGAATTGGCTTTTATATTTAATTTAGATTACATTTTAAATATCTTTTTTCTATTTACATACTTTAGTTTTAATTGAAAATATACTTTAGTGTATTTTTCCCAGTATATGTCGTATGTTGTTTTTTCATAAGCTGGAGTCTACTTTTTTCTTTTCCATTCTTTTTTTTGTGTTTTGAGACAGAGTCTACTTTGTTGCTGCTAGAGTGCCATCGGTCAGCTAACTCACAGCAACCTCAGACTCCTGCTCAAGCAATCTTCTGCCCTCAGCTCCTGAGTAGCTGGGATACAGGCATGCACCACCATGCTGGCTAATTTTTCTACATATATATTGAGTTGCCAATTTATCTTTCTATTTTTTATTAGAGACAGGATCTCACTCTTGCTCAGGCTGGTCTCGAACTCCTGAGCTCAAACAATTCGCCGTCAGCCTCCCAGAGTGCTAGGATTACAGGCGTGAGCCACCACACCCGGCCCTCACATGCAGTTTTAATCCTATGCTGTGGACATAGAATTTCAGATAACATTTTAGTTTGTTTTCAGATTTGTTGTTTTCTTTTAAACATGAAAAAAATAGTATTATGTGTAAATCCCTGCATGTGTGGATCCCTGATTTTGTCCTTGAAAATTCCTATAAGGGTAATTACTGAGTCACAATGAATAAATATTCTTAATGCTTTTGGTACGTTGCATTTGCTTTTTCTTTTTTAGTGATAATTTTGACAATCTTGCAAATCACTTCTAAAAATTTATCAGCATTGGCATTCTCTCATTAAGTTGTACTAGTTTTATAGAATGAATATGGCCCAAGATTGAGCCTAGGGAAAAAGAAGACCTGAGTAAAGAGTTTAGAGAAAGGAATTTAGTATTAGAAAGTTTTCTAGGAGTGTCTTTAAATTGTGGGATTTTTTTGCCATTTTTAAATTATTATTCCTTCAGTGTCCTTTGTGAATTAGAGAGAGTAGAGACACAGCTATTACAGATTGTGACTTGCCCAAAATATTTTGCATAGACTGAACCAGATCTAGATTCTGCCTGATAATTATTAATGTGGGTCCAATGTTTGAATATTGTTTGAAATCCATTTCTCAAGTTTTTTTCTTCTTTTACACAAGACTAAGTATAAACTTAAGAAAATATATATTTAGATTATGGCAGAAAAAGCTACCTGCTGAAATAAAGCAATTTGTAAACTGTGTTTACTTTAATTTTCAGTGATTAGAGACTTCCAAGAATATGTAGAGCCAGGAGAAGACTTCCCAGCTTCTCCACAGAGAAGAAATACCACATCACAGGAAGACAAAGATGACAGTGTAGTTTTACCTCTGGGTGCGGATACTCTCACACATAACTTGGGCATTCCAGTACTAGTAGTTTGCACAAAGGTTAGTTTGCTTCTTAGATATTCTGCTACTTATGTTCACCAAGGAAGAACAACTTTTGTTTTCCAGGTTTTTTTGGAGTTAACACGTTAGTTTTCCTAGATAATTTTTGTTAACAAATAGAAATAATAGTTTAAAATAACAAATGATAGTCACATGTTGGTTTTGTGATTTTAATCATAGTTTCCTTGAAGGAAAATGTATCACATATTCTATTTGTGGTTAAATTTCATTTTCATATCCAATTAAACTTCATTGTACCATAAGTTCAGTAGAAATAAGTACAGGTAAAATGGCAGTTTATTAATTTTTATAAAATGAATATTTCTCAATGTTAAATTTTGATATATTAATTTCTTAATACCCGATTATGTACTTAAAAATAAATAGACTTTTTAACACATTAACTGCCACGTGAGTTGTATTTAACACATGGTAGATTTGAGCCTGGGGCCTCATGAAGCAAAACCCTGCAGTTGGTTCGTGAAAATCCTGTTGATGTTCTTGTTGTTACAACTAATATTGACAATTTAATTCTAAAAATGTGGATCACGTTGCATATAACTCACACAAAACAAGTGAAAATAAATTTTTCATTAAATTAGGAAAGATCATTTTGTTTTCAAAGTTTTTATTATGTTTTTGTAATAAAACACTGTGACCCCAAGGAAAAAGTTTTTTTTCTAGGGTGGCAGTTAATGTGTTAAAACACCTCCCAGCACTCATTATGTAAAGTTGACATGCTGTTATTAAGGATTTCTTATTTATTTATTAAAGGGGCTTCGATAGGATCTATATAATCAAAACTCTGTTAACTTAGTTTTTTCACTGTATACATTTTATAATAAAATCAAATTTCCTTTAAAAATAATTCATAGATACAAGTTCTTCTTCCCACTTGGTCCTAAGTAGTATGTTTTTACTGTTGGTAAGTCATGGAATAGTTAAGAAAATGACAGAAGATAAATTTTTTTGAAACCTAAAATTACTAATGTTTTTTGTAACATGTAAAATTTGCACATATAATTAAAGGAGAGCAAAGAATTTATTCATCATAGGAATAAAATAGATAAAAAAAATTTTAAACCTAGCTTAGGTTTTACTTTAAATGTTACAAAAATTATCAATAACAAAGGAATATAGTGGCAGGATTTAAAATAATTAAGTTAAAGTCTACTATCTGTTTTTCAAATGGTGATTCTGCTGTAGTTAATTGTTACTTATACCTTTTCTGTAAAACAATTATTTAAAAGCTCACACTGGAATCCTTGTTGTGTGGTTTGTTTTTGTTTTGTTTTATTTGGCAAAGAGCTGTTTATTGGCAGATGTTTCCCTGTTTTATACCACCACAACTTGCCTTGTAATAAGCGGCCTTATTTTCCGAAGGAAAAACGTTAAGTTTAAAGAGTCCTGAATCAGTATCAAATGAGTCATAGATTCATAGAATTTTCAAGCCAGAGAGATCATCTACTGTATTTCATAAAATGAGATGTTCTTCAGTTTATGAGCTTTTAAAATGTGTAGGGGCATGGGAGAATGTGTGTCTAGTGGAGGAAGTATGGTGGTTCAGTTCCATCAGTTTAAAGACTCTGGAAATGGAGATTCAGGAAAACTAACTTTCTTGCTTTAAGTTCAAATTCTTTGATTTCAGTTAAAATCTCTTTACTAAACTATACTTCACTGAAAGTACCATTAAGTCAACACTATAATAATTACAAGTATTTTTAATCATTTGAAATATCACTCTCAGTATTGTGTAAAATGGGCAAATCAAGTGCTCATCATAATTATACAAGGAGCCTCTGTTCTAATATATATATATATGTATCCATGCAGCAAAAAAAAAATTACATATCAGATTTGACCCCAAACTAACATTAGGTATAATGAAGATTATGAAATGTTTGTTTATTTTTATATTTCACACCTTTTATTTGGAATAGTTTTAGTGAAATTATTTGAATGTCAACAATGTTTGAACATGCCTTCTTTGTATTTTCCATAATATTTTCTTGTAGGTAGCAAGCAGAATTCAGAATTGTTTCATTGATTGTACAGGTGGCATTTCAAAAATCACCTGTAATTCCCTTATTTTGTGATGAGGTTGTAGTAGAGTGAATAAAAGCACCAGAAAAGAAATGAAGATCAATTGGAATAAGTGGAGACTCCCTGTATATACAGAAGTGTTTTATAGAACTAGAATATATTTTAGATCTTTTTTCCTAGAACATAAGTAGTTGTATGAGCAAGTATGACCATTTAGGATAAACTTGGCTTATTATTCCTTATTCCTTTATGTACTAAAACTTTCTCTGTGGTGTTCTAACCATATTAAATATAATGTAGAAGTCAGTACTTTTTCTAAAGAAATTAAAATTATTCATTATTTTAAAACTCTCTAGAGTAGTTGATACTCTGAGTCCTACTGCTTAGTCACTGTACCAGAGTGGTAGTTTTGTGATGTTCTCCCATCTAAAATTGAAGTTTGAATTATTATATTTAGTTCTGATTTTTTAAAGTTAATGTTGTATTATTTTAACTCAACAGTGTGATGCCATTAGTGTTTTGGAGAAAGAACATGACTACAGGGATGAACATTTTGATTTTATTCAGTCACATATCCGGAAGTTTTGTTTACAGTGTATCCTTTTAATATATTTATTGATGCAATGTGCCTTACTTGGTTGTTTTTTTTTTTTTTTTAAAGTAAAAGAATTAAACTGATGGGTTTATTCTGTAAACATTTTTCCTTCTGCCTCTGGTTGGAAATTCTATTTTAATTCCCAAATCATTGGTATCTGGCTATTTTGAGATAAAAAGCAAGCATTGAAATACATAACATTGATTTGCTGTGGTTAAGTACTATGCTTAAGAAAAATAGGTATTGATTGTACATGGAAAATTCTAGTGGTTTGTCTTGAACATATCTGATTAATAACCTATTCAGATATTGGTGGTAAGTTGTAGGGCAAGATAAATCTTTAGTCTTGTGTATTTTCATTTTTAATTTGTTTACTATGTTATTGTCTTCTCCGTGTATAGCCTAACACAGTGGTTTCAGAATCTGGCTGTGCCTATCTAATACCTATTAGATGGGAACATTTCAAGGTGAGGCTGTAGAATCTGTACTTTAAAAAGCTTACATGGGTTATTTTGATAATCGTAGGGTTGGGAAACCTTCTTGTCTTATCTAAATTGTAAGGATTAGGTGAGACAATTAATAATATGTATAACTAAAAGAGGGAGAAAATGAAGATTGTAAGTGAATGCTTTTAAAACAATTTACAGTTGAAAACTTACGCTTTAAGTACACCCACCCTCTTGGATCAAATACTTTTCAGTTACGTTCTCCATATACAGTTTCTGAGTATGAAAGGTAATGACATGATATTAGGAGTAGATAGTAGTAAGTGGCACACGCATGTTTTTAGTGTCTGGAATTTACAAATTATTCTCACTAATGGGCATTTAATTTAAAGACCCACTTACAGGAACCCTAGCTGAATAAGATTATTACTAATTTCCCTTCCCCTCTTTTCCTTCAGTTCTTTCTCCTCTTCATAGGCCTTTGTCTCCTCACGTCACCTAAGCTGAGGGTTGAGTTAAAGGGCACTTGTCTACATAGTGTCTCAAAAAGAAAACAAAAGTGTTACAGCTCTTTTAGAATTTGTCTAGCAAGTTCCCCCCAAAAAGAAAAAGAAAACAGAAAGTGTTTGTTTTCAATTGAAGTGTTGTCTATAGCCTTTTTTTTGTTAGCTTTGAAGATTAGAAAATTTAGTAACAGTTTCTTTAAACATTATTTAATGTTGTCCTTAAATGTAAATATAGAGATGTAATCAGGAAGGAAGCTGTCCACTAAAATAGAGACCTTTATAGGCAGTTTATTTTAAAAGAATACAAAATGTGAGCTGTTATTTGAAGATGAGGTATGTGTTTATCAGTGAGTGAGGTGACAGTTTAAAATCATCTTTATGTAAAAGTTGTTAAGGCTGGGCACGGTGGCTCATGCCTATAATCCCAGCACTTTGGGAGGCTGAGGCAGGAGAAGGGTCGCTTGAGCCCAGGAGTTTGAGACCATCCTAGGCACCATAATGCCTGTTTCTAAAAAAAGTAAAAAAGATTAGCTAGGTGTGGTGGTGTGCACCTATAGCCAGCTACATGAGAGGATTGCTTGAGCCCAGGAATTGAAGGCTGCAGTGAGCTGTGACCATATTGCAGTCCAGCCTGGGTGACAGCAAGATCCCGTTTCTACCAAAATAATAATAATAATTTTAATTGCAATGCAAATTTTTCAGTTATAGAAGTCTTCTAAATGATCATAGATTGGTTATTGTAGAGAAGATCATTAATGCAAAGTTCACACAATTAAACATTTAAGATTATTTCTACCAAGTGAAGTTTCATACCAAATTAAGTTGTATTTAGCAACATTACTTTTAGATTTATTTATAAGCCTCAGGCCATGTCCTAGAAAATATGAGTATCGCAGTCAAGCAGTTAGACAGTCTCCCAGCATTTCTTCTTAGCCTCAGTCACCATCTCTCTTGGGGACACAGTGGTCAATGCTAGAGCACAGTCCTAAGGGATGATCATAGAATTTCTAATGGACACTCTGAACACATCATATGTCAGTAGTCACATTGCCCCTTCTACAGGCCTCTTGCTCTTTTGATCCACCATGTCTTTTGGAGAAAAGGTGAAAGTTAGAAACTGCTTCAATTAATACATCCTCACGTGTTATTTCAAGTTTTGATCATGAAATCTACTTTTGCCTTGGGTCATGCCTGAAAGCCTCCGGATAATTCTGTCTGGTTCACTTTCTCTCAATAATAGGTCTTTTGTGGCTTCTTCAGTAAGTCTCCTGAGCTTTGTCTATGAAGTCTTAATTCCTGAGATTGATAAAAAAAAGTTCCTGAAATTAATAAAAAAAGAGAGAAAGTAGTGCAAATTATTTTTGTTGAAAAGGTACAAACAAAGCAGTTGTTAATAAAATCTCCACTTTCATGAAGTTTGGGAAGGTTAAAAACAAAAACATTGTCTTTTCATGTGCTTTAAATATAGAGGTAGTAGTGGTGTTAGTATTACTAAATTTACTCTTGGTTTGAGGAGATCTCTACCCTCCTAAATTCAATTGATTATGCAAAGATTTTTTTATTTGTACGTTAGCCCATGTTTATACTTTTGAAATTCTTATTTACTGCATAATATACCTTTGGAAGTTACTTTTGAGACTAATATATAGAGAGATGTAAATGATAAGCTGAGAACACAGAATTTTATGGTACCTGTTCATGGAATTTGCCCAAAATTTTCTTTAATGATATTATTCAGATGGTGCAGCACTTATTTACACTTCAGTAAAAGAAAACAAAAATATAGACTTAGTATATAAATACATTGTTCAGAAACTATATGGATTTCCCTATAAGATTCCTGCTGTTGTTGTGGAAAAGGATGCAGTATTTATGTAAGTAGACTTTTAAATATATTATTTTGTTATGTATTGTTGCTACTGTTTAATTAATCATCATTTTCAGTTTTGAGATGGGACCAATAAACCTTTCCATGACAAATAGATGAGAATCTGTTCCTAGATTGTTGTGTTTATTACCTGCCTTGGTCTATTTGTCATTGCCTGTGAGATTTGCTGCTGGCCTGAGCCCTTTTTGAAAGCCCTTTGCCATTATAGCTAAACTCTCTAATGGCTGCATATATTAATGTATTGTATCTACTTATTCTTTAATTGATTATGATACATAAATGACTCAATGTGTGATCTAGACATGCTTTTGAAAAGTTCCCTGAATAAAATTGGGAGGTAATAATTACTTCCCACACCAAGAAAAAACTGTAATGGACATTTTTTAAGATCAGGAATGTTTATAATCATTTTAAGTAGAAATTATTAAAACATAACTTGGACATTATAATAAAAAGCTAATTAGTTTTCCTTAATTGGTCAAATTGGCATCATAAAATATTCCTTTTATGTGATTATGTGTTAAATGAAAAAATGACTGTATAAATGCTTGAGAATTCATCGTATGCATTTCTTTCCAGTCCAGCAGGGTGGGATAATGATAAGAAAATAGGAATATTACATGAAAATTTTCAAACATTAAAAGCAGAAGATAATTTTGAAGACATCATAACTAAACCTCCTGTCCGAAAGGTAACAGTTTTAAGTAGTTTCAGTATTTAGACTTTTAAACTGAAGGGTAATTCCACAACTTTAAGATTGTAGGTAGAAAGGTAAGGATACTCTTTTCTATGGGGGACGGGGGTTCTAAGTGTAATTTGGCTTTTTCTAATGTACAATTCACATAATGATTTGTTTTAGCAAAATATAAATCAACTAGTTACTAAATCTTAGCCTTTGGTATATCTGTATTAGCAAGTATTAGTACAGAATCCGTATTCTGATACAGTGCCTTGGAAATCATGGATTGGCCTGAGTGTGTATGTTGAACAGTTTGAATGGGCAGAAGTTGTGAAATTTCTAACGTAAATCTCCACCAAAAGCCACAAAAAATATTGTTGGAATAATTTTCTTAGTTCTACCTATTGAGGCAGATCTTGGATCTTCTCTACAGATATTAGTTACCACTTTAGTACACAGCTATCCAAGAGCTTCCAGTTTGTCTTGACTGTGACATGTCATTCTATAACTATTAAATCATGTTAAGCAATATGGGAAGTTCTATGTTATATATATAGATGTTTCTAAAAAGTTGTATAAAAATGAATGTTTCCATATACAGATTGAGTATTCCTAATCTGAAATCCGAAATGCTCCAGAGCCTGAAGCTTTTTGATACGGTGCTCAATGGAAATACTTATTGGAGCATTTTGGATTTTCAGATTAGGAATGCTGAACTGGGAAGTTTAATGCAAATATTCTGAAATCCAAAACACTTCTGGTCCCAAGCATTTCAGATAAGGGATACTCAACCTGTAATACTTCTCACTGGCTTGCTTTTAATTTGGACATGTATTTCAGGAAAAAATAATTTTGATTTAACATATATTGAGTCTTAAGAATCTAAACATTCACAGTATAAAGCTTTCATCTTCTGTTTGTGGGTTAGTAGTAATAAGTAAGGTCAAATGAAAAATTAGTTGATGTGGTATTTGGTTGGGTTGTCTATTAAAGGAAATATACATAGGAAAACAAAACAGCAAAAATGTTTCCCAACAAAATGCTTTCTTTAAGTTTTCTTTTTCTTTTATTCATTCCACAAATATTTATTGAGCACTAAATCAGACACTGTTTAGGTGGTAGGTGCTAAATAGGAAGGAGGGTGATGCAAATGATAAAGCAATACAGAAACCATCTGCCAAGTGGTGATGAGTGCTATTGAAGTAAAGCAGGATGTGGAGAGAGAGAGGGAAAGGACTGGGCCTGGAGGGATTCTGTTTTAGGTGGAGGGAAGGTCTCTGGTAAGAGAGGAGAATGTTGAGGGCCAGGGAACTGAAAGTACACATACCCTGAGACAGGAACATGTGAGGAAGGCAGAGAGGCTGGAAAGAGCTGTGCAGAGGGCCGGAGTGGTAGGAGATGAGAGGCAGAGTTCAGTTATTGTGGGGCCATTTCGGTTGCAGTAAGAACTGTGGATTTCATTCTGAGTTAGATGAAAAGTAATTGTATGGCTGGACGTGGTGGCTCACATCTGTAATTCCAGCATTCTGGGAGGCCGAGGTGGGTAAATTGTTTAAGCTCAGGAGTTTGAGACCGGCCTGAGCAAGAACCAGAGCCCATCTCTACTAAAAATAGAAAGAAATTAATGGGCCAACTAAAAATATAGAAAAAATATGGCGCATGCCTCTAGTCCCAGCTACCCTGGAGGCTGAGGCAGGAGGATTGCTTGAGCCCAGGATTTTGAGGTTGCTGTGAGTTAGTCTGATGCCACGGCACTCTAACCTGGGCAAGAGTGAGACTCTGTCTCAAAAAAGAAAAAAAAGAGGAAAGTAATTGGGGAGTTTGAGCAGAGGAATGATATAATCTGACAACCTTTTAAAAGGGTCACTCTGGCTCCGGGGAAGAACATAGACTCAGTGTCTGTGGTATAGCACAGTAGAAGCAGGAAACTTGCAATTCCTTTTCGTAATTATTCAGGTGATAGAAGAGCCATTATATTTTTACTTCAGGAAAACCAGGAACAAGTTTCATTTCACTCAACTGGGATATTACTCGCCCTTTTAAAACACCAACCTGTTGTTGAGCAAATTTTGTTAACATGATTAATATGCTTGTGGCTCTAGGGTTGTGCTGTTCAGTAGAGTAGCCACTGGCCACATACGGCTTTTAAATGTAAAGTAAATTAAAATAAATTTAAATATCAGTTGCTCTGTCACATTAGCCACATCTCAAGTGCTTGATAGCCACTGGTGGCTAGTGGCTACTGTATTAAACAGTACAGATATAGGGCTTGGGTAGAGCAGTTCACTCATGTAAATATAAATATAGATAAAGTTTATATTCATGAATTGTTTTTTAATTAGTCTAATCTAGAGAGTAAGTTATCAAGAGTGTTGGCATAATATATTAAACTTGCTCACTTCATGCATTGCTCATTTCAGTTTGTGCATGAGAAGGAAATTATGGCAGAAGATGACCAGGTGTTTCTTATGAAGCTTCAGGTATGAAATTACATCAGAAACAGATTTAATATGGTTAACGGGTAAACTGTGTTCTTATATGTATTTTCTTTAAAAATATAGCAGTACATGCTGCAAATGTCTAAACTAGGATTCTTTTGTTTCTTTTTAGTCCCTTTTAGCAAAGCAACCACCAACTGCAGCTGGAAGGCCTGTGGTCAGTATTACAGATTTTGATAAAATTATTAAAATATAGTACATACTGTTCTTTCTTAAAAATCATTACATATCTCACATGGATGTGCTTTGATATAAACTTGAATTCAGAATTCTTCTGGAATTTGTGAGATTTTAAAAGAAACTTCACTTCTAGAATATTTATATCACATAAAGATCTATTTTGCAATGCTTGTTGTATGTTGGTGACTGTACTGAGTCATTTATGTGTGTCATTTTACATATCCTCACGACAGCAGTATAAGACAAGTACTTTTATTAGCCCCATTTTGCAGATGGGGAAATGAGGGCTTTTAGCAAGGATGTTGTGGCTTGCCTGAGGTTATACAGCTAGTAGGATACAAATCCAGATTGGAACCCAAATCTGACTCCCAAGCTTATACTCATAACTATACCTCATTATTCAATAAGTTCTTCCTTTTCCGTTGAAGGAAAAAGTAGTATTCATTTTTTAAAAATTTATTTGTATTTTTTTTTATTTCGGCATAATATGGGGGTACAGATTTTAAGGTTTCAATAAATGCCCATTCCTCCCTCCCCCCACAAGTCTGAGTCTCCAGCATGACCATCCCCCAGATGGTGCATACCTCACTCATTATATATGTATATACCCACCCTTATTTGTATTTTTTAAGAGCTGAGTTCTGACTATGTTGCCCAGTGAGAGTGCAGTGACTATTCACATTTCACAGGTGTGATCATAGTGCATTGATTGCTTCCTCAAACTCCTAGGCTCAAGCGATCATTGCACCTTAGCTTCCTGAGTACCTGGGATTATGGATGCATGCCACTGTACCCAACTATTGAAAGAAAAAATAGTATTCCTACATTTGGCGTTAGAAGTAAAAAGAAAAATTAGTATTCTAAAGTATGGTGGTGACCAGGCTCAGTGGCTCACACCTGTGATCCTAGCACTTTGGGAAGCCAAGGCAGGGGAATCGCTTGAGGGCAGGAGTTCTAGACCAGCCTGAACAAGAGCAAGACCTCATCTCTATAGAATATAGAAAAATTTAGCCTGGTGTGGTGGCGTACAGCCCATAGTCCCAGCTACTTGGGAGGCTGAGACAGGAGTATCACATGAGCCCTTGAGCCCAGGAGTTTGAGGTTATGGTGAGTTATGATGATGCCACTGCACTCTAGCCCCAGCAACAGAGTGAGACCCTGTCTCAAAAACAAAACAAAACAAATGTGATGGGCTGGGCTTCTGATATTTTCTAATACTAAAGATAGGATTACTAACAATTTTGTCACTGACTTGCAGTGTAAAAGTACCAGTAAAATTAGATGGGGGATAATTGTAAAGTAATTCCTTTTCATAATATTAACTTTTGTGATGGTGAAAGTTTAGTGTTTTTATAATTGAGGTTTTCTTTATTTTTACATAGGATGCCTCACCAAGAGTCCCAGGAGGCTCCCCTCGAACACCAAACAGATCTGTGTCATCCAATGTTGCCAGTGTGTCACCCATCCCTGCTGGGTCAAAAAAAATTGATCCAAACATGAAAGGTACCTCCCTCCTTCCCTATCCTTCTCCGTGTGTGTGTCTGTCTGTCTGTCTGTATGTGTGTCTTTGTGTCTGTCTCTCTCTCTCCTTCTCCCCTCCCCCTCTCTACCCACCCCTCAGGAAAACAGCACAGTACATTGGTTTTACAATGGAAAGAAATCTACCTAGAATTCCATCTTTTACCATTACTATTTTCATTTTTGTATAATACCTTCTAAGCGTTGTCTCTAGAGACATAATCTCACAGTTAATCATATTGTAAACCATGTTACAGTGTATTCTTAATGTATCATCATTTCCATGATGAAAGTTTTGTTATATTTAGTCATTCTCCTATGTTAGATCATTGAAGAAATTTCATATTTATACTATAATAGGTAACCTGCAATTAACATGATAAAACTGCATGTGTAGGCCAGGCGCAGTGGCTCACACCTGTAATCCTAGCACTCTGGGAGGCCAAGGTAGGAGGATTGCTCAAGGTCAGGAGTTCAAAACCAGCCTGAGCAAGAGTGAGACCCCGTCTCTACTATAAATAGAAAGAAATTAATTGGCCAGCTAATATATATAGAAAAAATTAGCTGGGCATGGTGGCGCATGCCTGTAGTCCCAGCTACTAGGGAGGCTGAGGCAGTAGGATCACTTGAGCCCAGGAGTTTGAGGTTGCTGTGAGCTAGGCTGATGCCATGGCACTCACTCTAGGCTGGGCAATAAAGCGAGACTCTGTGTAAAAAAAAAACCTGCAACTAAGAAGGACTTTTTCCATAACATTTCCCTTCTGTTTATGTTCTTCTCTTATGAATTGTGTATTGCTATCCTTTGCCCATTTGTCTCTGAGAACTTTTACTCGTTTTCATGTAGGATTAGGTAACTTATTGTAATACTTCAGGCAACTATTTCTCAACAGTTCTATTTTTAAAGAACTTTCAAAAGGGGGATATACATTAGCATCTAACATCTTTTTGTTTAAAATGCTTTTGGCCTTTTAAAAATAACATTCTAATTTTTAGATAAATTTTATACTTTTAAAGTTTACTCGTTTTGTTTTATATATGAAAAGAATAGTTAGCCTCAAAAGATTAAACGACTTAAATTTGAAATTTATAGCTCTTAAATTTTATTATTTGTTTTCTATGTGTGATTACTATAATAATAATTTGTGGAAAAACCTAATGTTTTGAGTAAAAGTTTTTTGTTTTTTTTATAGCTGGAGCTACAAGTGAAGGCGTCCTGGCAAATTTCTTCAACAGTTTGTTGAGTAAAAAGACTGGCTCTCCAGGAGGCCCTGGTGTTGGTGGTGGTAGCCCTGGAGGCGGGGCTGGAGGTGGAAGCAGTGGTTTACCACCATCTGCCAAAAAGTCAGGTACAGTTACCCAGAGCAAGTCACTTTTCTTAAAAAACAGCTTTATTGAGATATAATTTACATACCACTTAAAGTGTATAAATCAGTGGTTTTAACATCCTTACGGAGTTACGCAGACCATCACCATAATCTAAATTTAGAACATTTTTATCTCACCCAAAAGAAAACTTGAATCAGGCCAGGCGTGGTGGGTCACACCTGTAATCCTAACACAGGATTACAGTGGGAGGCCGAGGCGGGCGGATCCCTAGAGGTCAGGAGTTCAAAACCAGCCTGAGCAAGAGCAAGACCCCGTCTCTACTATAAATAGAAAGAAAATTAATTGGCCAACTAATATATATAGAAAAAATTAGCCAGGCATAGTGGCGCATGCCTGTAGTCCTAGCTACTCGGGAGGCTGAGGCAGCAGGATTGCTTGAGCCCAGGAGTTTGAGGTTGCTGCGAGCTAGGCTGATGTCACAGCACTCACTCTAGCCTGGGCAACAAAGCGAGACTCTGTCTCAAAAAAAAAAAGAAACCTTGAACCCTCTTCCTTTCTATCCCCCCAGTCCTTAGGCAACCATTAATCTGCTTTCTCTCTTTATGGATTTGCCTTTCTGGACATTTTGTATAAATAGAATCATACAATGTATGTCTTTATCAAAATGTTTTTGAGGTTCATCCATGTTGTAGGATATATCAGTATTTCATTTCTTTTTATTGCTGAATAATATTTCGTTGTATAGATATGCCACAGATTATTTATCCGTTGTGTTACCACTTTTTGACTATCATGAATAATGCTGCTGTGAAATTCATTTTTGTGTGGACACGGTTCTTTAATTCTCCTAGGCAAATACCTGAGAGTGCAGTTACTGGGTCACGTGGTAACTTAAGTTTTTGAAACACTGCCAAAATATTTTCCAAAATGCTGCATCATTTTACATTTCCATCAGCAGATTATGAGGGTTCCAGTTTATCTGTATCCTCACTACATTTGTTATTGTCTATCTGTTACCATTCATCTTCTTTACAGATTCTAAAATTTTGTTTTTATTTTCTTTTTTACCATTCTTGTCCTATATCTTTTCTTAAAAATACCTTTGTGGCATTAAATCATAGGTGCCAGTTTTACCTCTATTTGATAACTGATTCCACCATTTAAAATGAGGGAATTTATTTTTAAATTAAGGATGTTATGTAACATAGTACGCTAAAGTTGGTGAAAGTGTTAGCAAATTTTTTTCTACAGAAGCAACCACTGCTGTGCCTTTTTTTTTCCCCCAAGAGATGGGGTCTTGCTTTCTCTCTCAGACTGGAGTGCAGTGGTGGAATCATAGCTCACTGCAACCTTGAAAACCCCTTGGCTCACGCAATCTTCCTACCTTAGCTTCCTGAGTAGTTGGGACTACAAGTGTGCAACCACTGTTTTTTTTTTTTTTGGAGATGGGATAGCACCATATTGCTTGGGCTGGTCTTGAACTTCTGGCTTCAAGCAATCCTCCTATCTCAGCCTCCCAAGTAGCTAGCCACCATGCCCAGTCCACTCTTCCTATTTTGGTGTCCTTCCTTGCAGCTTTTTTTTTATTAATTAATTTAGAGATGGACTCTTACTATGTTGCCCAGGTGGTCTTGAACTCCAAGTGTTCTTCCCACTTTAGCCTCCTGAGTAGCTGGGACTATAGGCATGTGCCCCCATGCCTGGCACATTAACAATTTTTAAATGAAGAGGCGTTAATGAAAAGGGTACTTTGCCTTATATCTAAATCTTGTTTCTTTCTTTTCCTTCAATGTAGGTCAGAAGCCTGTCCTAGATGTTCATGCAGAACTAGACAGAATTACACGAAAACCAGTTACAGTTTCTCCTACAACACCTACATCTCCTACGGAAGGGGAAGCTTCCTGAAGATACCAAATAAAGCCATTTATTCAGTTTTCTGGGATGATGTAAACTTGCCTCTGCCTTTTCCTTCAAAAGTGGAATTAGGGAGCTGGAGTGCTTTTTCAGATGGACTAAATTTATGTCTCTTCTGTGTGTGTATGGTTGCCCATTTTTATAAAAGGAGCTATACAGAAGAAAAATTATTCTACATTATGTAGGATTGCTATTTGCATTGCCATTTTGCCTAAGGAAATAATTTTGGATTTTGAAAATCTCAGAATTTATAGATCTGAAATGCAACCATGTGATCATATTCTAACAGCTATTTAAAACATGTAGGAGGGTTTAGGGAAGGGCAGAAAATATATAATTTGGGCATTTGGCTGACTTGGAAGTCCAAACTTACTTTAGTTAAGACTATTAAAATCATTTTTTTTTAAATTGTTTAACTGAAAAGGAAGAAAATGATCAATTGTCAGATTTTGCACACCAACATAATGTACCATTACACATGTTAATATGCTGAGAAAACTATCCAATAGCATTTGATACACTAGTCATTGTCTCAATCACTGATCCTATAAGTTGTCATCAAAATACAATTTAGAAATATTGGCCAAGATGTTTATTTAATAGAGAAGAAAAGAAAGCACACTGCCTGAACATGTAAAAGAAAAATGCAGAGGTTATTAAAATGTAAAGAGGTAACAGTCTTTGGATTTGTCTATACATATATATATATATGGCTTTGCCTTAATATACCCTTTTTTTTGTTTGTGACTTTCAACTGTAATCAGTTAATAAAGTATTTATTCTCTGCATTCAGGTTCAAATAACTTGTTGCATTCCCTTATATTTAAATTTGTATTTGTCAGCTAATAAGATTTGTTAGTATAGTCATTTCTTGGTATCTGTGTGTAATTGGTTCCAGGACCTCCTTGGGTACCAAAATCCATGAATGTTCAAGTCCCTGATATAAAATGGTATACCATTAATATTTGCATATAACCTATGCACATCCTCCTGTATCCTTTAAATCATCTCTAGATTAGTTATAATCAGTATAAATGCTATGTAAATTGTTGTTATACTGTATTATTTAAGGGAAAATGACCAAAAAAAAGTCTGTATATGTTCAGTACAGATGCAGTTTTTGCCCGAATAATTTCAATCTGCAATTGGTTGAATCCTCGGATGTGGAACCCATGAATACAGAGGGTGGACTGTATTTTGAAATGTTTGACTTTGTAGAATTCATAAGCATTCTGGTCATCTTCCTAAGAGACATAAGAGTGCATAAGATTCCCTATCCTGTAAGTTTCCTTAATTTGGGAGTTTGCCTTGATCAACACATCATCCCCACAGGCATGTCTTGAACTGTAAAATCTTATGTCAGCATTCCTAGTAGGTAAACTTAGCTGTTTGTCATCATTCAATGGCAAGAAGCTGTTTTAAAAGCTTGGCAGATGTATTAACACATAGCTACTCACAGGTAGTAACATCTGCTGCTGATTGCACCTTTTCAATACTCAGTTTTCATTGCTTCGTAAGAACGAGTTGATCTTTTTATTGAAGTTCACCTAGAGAATACATCTACATTTGACCTATTGAGTCATTTCAGATAGTTGGGACCAAAATGGTTACTGCCCTTTAAATTGGTCGTTGTTGCTACTTTAAAAATATATATTCCAAAGGTTTTTTCACCAAAGTGTTTGAAGATAATACCTCTATTATTTAGCACAATCCTTTCATTAAAACTTTAAAATCTGTTTAGTTTTACAATAGTATTTGACACCTTATAATTTAATGTCAAAAATATGTGAGAGGGCAATGATTGTTTCCATGTGGGAAAAACAGGGTGTTCATAGGCATAGAAAAGTTTGTAAGTACATTTGGTTTCATAAAATATTTGAGATAAGAAATGTCATTGATGAAATATTTCATCCAGAAAGGGTTCTGCAATTAGGACAGTGTAGATTTTCTCTAAATTAGTGTTTGATGAAATAAGTGGAACTAACAAAAAAAGAATGCAGACTGTGCATCGTCATATATTTTGATACATCAGCTACTGTGTTTGCATGCAGAAACCAACTCATTTTGTGTGTGACGTTGAGCATGTACTAGAAAAATCCTTGGAATTGAGTTAGCTAAAATTATTGTAAATTGTATGTACACTCTATCTGGAATTTAGTTTACAGCCTAGCGTTTACCATGTTTAAACTTTGAACCTATTTTTATACCAATTTTTGCAAGGAAGTTTGTTTTACAACTTAATTTTTTGTTTTTAAGGTAACTTTTTAAATCCTCCTTTGAATACATTTTTTCCCCAAAATTCTTAAGCAAAGTTTTTATTGAAATATACAGTACAGAAGCGTACAAGTTACAAGTGTACAGTTTGAAATATCACAGTGACCACATACAGCCAGCATCCCCCAGAAGCTTCCAGTGTGCCCCCTCAAATCAGTATCCCCACCCACCACCACTGCCTCACAAAGCCATAGATAAATTTTGCTTATTTTTTGAGCTTTATGTAAGTGGAATCTTAAGTTTATACATATTTTTTGTGCTAGGCATCTTTCAATATAGGGCTGTGGTTCATCTTTTTTTTTTTTTTTTTTTTTGCATGTAGCAATAGTTATTCTCATTGCAGCATGATATTCATTGTGGAAATACAGCCAGTGGGCCAGTGAGGTGGCTCGTGCCTATAGTCCCAGCGCTTCGGGAGGCCAAGGTGCAAGGATCACATGAGGCCAGGAGTTTGAGACCAGCCTGGGCAACATAGGAAGTTCCTGTCTCTACAAAAAATTTAAATATATATATATATTATACTATTGATGAATGTATTTTAGTTTCTTATCATTGCTATAGTAGATTACCACAAATTTAATGGCTTACAACAATACAAATTTATTACCTTAACCATTCTGGAGTCCAAAATCAGTCTTACTGGGCTAAAGTTAAGGTGTCAGCAGGGCTGGTTTCTTTTGGGGGTTTCAGAGAAGCACGCATTGTTTTCCTTTCTAACTTCAAGAGGCTGCCTGCATTCCTCCGCTCTTGGTCCCTTCTCCAAAGCCAGCTGCATAGCATCTCTGCATGACTCTCTGCTCTGACTCTCCTGCCTCCCTCACCCAAGTGATTAAATTGGGCCCTCCTGAATAATCCAGTATAATCTCCCTTAACACTTTAAATATTTCACTCCACTCTCTTGCTTGCATGATTTATTTTAGCATATTATGGGGGTACAAGTGTTAAGGTTACGTATATTGCCCATGGCCCCCCTCCCCCGTGCTTGCATGGTTTCTGAAGAGAAGTCAGGTGTAAAATTTGCTCGTCTATAGGTGTTTTTTCCCTCTGATTTCTTTCAAATTCTTTTTTCTTTTTTTATATAAATTGAGACAGGGTCTTGCTCTGTTGCCCAGTCTGGAGTGCAGTGGCACAGTCGTAGCTGACTGCAACCTCTTAACTCCTGGGCTCAAGCAATCCTTCTGCCTCAGCCTCCCAAGTAGCCTGGAGTACAACCAGGTGCCACCACACTTGGCTAATTTTTCTATTTTTAGTAGAGATGGGGGTCTCACTATGTTGCTCAGGCTAGTCTCCAACTCCTGGCCTCAAGCAATCCCACCTCAGCAACCAATGGTGCTAGAGATCATAGGCATGAGCCACCACACCCAGCCTAAGATTTTTTTTTTTATCTAAAGCTTTCTGCAGTTTGAATATAATATGCCTAGGTGTAGTTTTTTCAGATTTTGTGGGGGGGTTTTGGCATTTAACCTGCTTAACACTCCCTGAACTTCCTGCATCTGTGGTTTGGTATCTGACATTAATTTGGAGGAAATTCTCAACCTATTGCTTCAAATATTCCTTCTGTTCCTTTCTCTTTCTTCTATTGGTTTGCCCAGTTATCCCACAGTTCACAGTTCTTGGATATTTTGTTCCTTTTTTGTCTTTTTGCTCTCTGTTTCAATTTCGGAAGTTTCCATTGACATGTCCTACAGCTCAAAGATTCCTGCCTCAGTCCAGGAGGCATTCCTCTATTAGGTTGCTTTTTTTTTTTTTTTTTTTTTTTTTATCTCTAGCATTGCTTTTTGATATGTTTTGGACTTCTGTCTTTCTGCTTACATTACCCGTCTGTTCTTGCGTGTTGTCTACTTTTTCCGTGAGAGCCCTTAGGATATTAATTATAGTTGTTTTATATTTATGGTTTGATAATTCCAACATCCCTGCCATGTCTGAGTCTGGTTCTGATGCTTCCTCTGTCTCTTCAAGCTGCGTTTTTAGTATGCCTTGTAATTTTTTGTTAATAGCAGGACATGGTATATGGTAAAAGTAACTCCAGTACATAGGCCTTTATGATGTGGGGGAGGGGAAGTGTGCTGTAGTCCTCTGATTAGGTCTCAGTTTTAATGAGCCTGTGCTCCTGCGTTGTGAAGACTTCACTAGCGCTTCTCAGTCCCCCCCCCCACCCCCCGCCTTGAGGTGGCACAGGTTGTCTAAAGGGGGCTAGAGTTGAATATTTCCCTACCATGACTGACCTGATGCTAGGGAAATAGGCTCCGGTAAAATAGTTTATCTTGAGGGCAGGCCTTGTTAGAACAGAAAGCTCTGGCATGTTTCAAAATGGTTACTTTCCCTCTTCTCCTACCTGAAGGTGGAAAGGATTTTTCTCTGATCGTCCCTGTGAGAACCTGGTAGAGCCGGAGGTAAAACTCACTAAAGTGCAAGAACCCTCTTATGTATGACTGGGTCCCCCTGGAATTCTCAACTCCCAGGCTTGTCCGCACTGAACCTCCAGTAATTCGTCAATCACGGTTCAGATTTTCATACCCCAGTACTGGCTTCCATGGAGGTCTCTGCCTGTGAATGTCTACTTGGTAAGGTGATTCTCTTGTCTGTCTGCCTCCAATTTTGAGGCTGTGGTTTGCTCTGTGACCTCACTTCTCTGACAGATCTAAGAATTCTTTTTCATTTGTTCAGCTTTTTACTTGTTAGGATCAAATGATGACTTCCAAAGTCCTTACGTGCTGGACCAGAAACTGGAAGCCTTATTTCCTCCCTCTCAAGATCCTTAATCATATCTGCAAAGTCCCTTTGCCAAGTCAGGTAATATTTGCAGGTTCCAGCAATTAGAAAGTGGACATCTTCTGGAGTTCTCTTGTTCAGCAAACATCCAAACAGGATGTTTGGGTTGTTTCCAGTTTTTCAGTTGCTATTACGAATAGGGCTATTGTGAACACTCTTGAATGACTGTCTTGTGGAAAACATGTTTTCATTTCTGTTGGGTGTATTTGTAGAATTGGATTGTTGGGTCCATAGGCTGTGTATGTATGTATTCAACTTTAGTAGATAAAGCCAACTAGTTTTTCCAAAGTGGTTATGAGAATTTCCATTATTAGGAGAAAATATTTGCAAGACATGTCTGATAAGGGCCTCATGTTCAAAATATATAAAGAATATTTACAATTAAATAATATGACAAATAACCCAATTTAAAAATTGGCCAAGTATTTGAATAGACAGTTTCTCCAAAGAAGATATACAAATGACAAATAAGCACACGAAAGGATGCTTAATATCTTTAGTCCTTGGGGATATACAAATCAAAACCACAGTGAAACACTAATTATTCAGCCATAAAAAGGAATGAACTATTGACTGAAGCATGCCATAACATGAACATTGAAAACATGTTAAGTGAAAGGAGCCAGTCACAAAAAGCCACATTATAGGATTCCATTTATATGAAGTGTCCAGAATAAACAAATCTGCTGAGACAGAGAGTAGATTAGTAATGGCTAGGGGGAAGGGAAAATGGGAAGTGGGATTTCCTTTTGGG